ATGTTGGTCAGGCTGGTCTTGAACTCCTGGCCTCAAGTGATCCACCTGCCTCAGCTTCCCAAAGTGCTGGGATTACAGGTGTGAGCCACTGTGCCCCACTTAAATCTCCTATACCATATCTTTAGGGTAATTTTTCTGTTTAGATATGTTTAGATACACAAATATTATTGCATGACATTTGGTGACAATTTTCTTTTTCTTTTTCTTTTCTTTTTTTTTTTTTTTTGAGATGGAGTCTTGCTCTGTCATCCAGGCTGGAGTGCAATGGCACGATCTTGGCTCACTGCAATCTCCGCCTTCCTGGTTCAAGCAATTCTCCTGCCTCAGCCTCCTGAGTAGCTGGGATTACAGGTGCCCACCACCACATCCAGCTAATTTTTGTATTTTTAGTAGAGATGGGGTTTCGCCATGTTGGCCAGACTGGTTTCAAACTCCTGACCTCAGGTGATCTGCCTGCCTTGGCCTCCCAAAGTGCTGGGTTTACAGATGTGAGCCACTGCGCCCCGCCTTGGTGACAGTTTTCAGGAGAGCAATATGCCATATAGGTTTGTGGCCTAGGAGCAACAGGCTATACCAGAGAGCCTGGGTGTGTAGCATGCTACACCATCTAGGTTTGTGGAAGTACACTCTATGATGTTTGCACAATGACAAAATCACCTAATAATGCATTTCTCAGAACATATCCCTGTTGCTAAGTGAAACATGACTGTAATTAAAATGGTTTTTCTCCCGCTAATCTGTCTTATGTCAATTTAATTTGTAGCCCCGCCAAAGAATCTAGAAGGGTAGAGAGAAGCCATTTTTCACTCCGTCACAGCACCATCTATAGCACCCAGCACTACGCCTGCACATAACAGGCAGTTAGTAAAGGCTGCAGGCCAAATGCAGGTGAGCCCCATCATTTCATAATTTTGTTTCTAGCAAAGGCCTCTTTACTTAAAAGAGGCCTTTCCCTAGGCAATGAGGATATTTGCTTTCTGATGCAGGCCACCCTTGGTGAGTTGGGACATTATATTCCCATCATCCTGGGGCCGGCTGTCCTCTCATTAAGCAGAACCTGTAGGTTGCAGATCAGTGGAGTGGGAAAAAGCAGTCTAGGGGCAGTCTCTACTGATCTCCAGGCCTTTCCTGACTATCAGTCTTTCACCCTGTTCCCAAATGTGAAACCACCACACAGAAGCAGAGAGAGAGAGAGAGAGAGAGACAGAGAGAGAGAGAGAGAGAGAGAGAGGGAGTGAGTGTGTGTGTGTGTGTGTGTGTGTGTGTGTGTGTGTGTGGAGAGAGAGAGAAAAGAGAAATGGTTCACTTCCAGAACAGCTCAAGCCCCATTAAAGCATGCAATTGCCGGGCGCGGTGGCTCAAGCCTATAATCCCAGCACTTTGGGAGGGCGAGGTGGGTGGATCACGAGGTCAAGAGATCAAGACCATCCTGGTCAACATGGTGAAACCCCATCTCTACTAAAGATACAAAAAATTAGCTGGGCATGGTGGCACATGCCTGTAATCCCAGCTACTCAGGAGGCTGAGGCAGGAGAATTGCCTGAACCCAGGAGGCAGAGGTTACGGTGAGCCGAGATCGCGCCATTGCACTCCAGCCTGGGTAACAAGAGCGAAACTCCATCTCAAAAAAAAAAAAAAAGCATGCAATCACAGGTCAAGCCAGGCATAGTCTATAATCCCAGCACTTTGCGATGCCAAGGTAGGTAGGAAAATCATTTGAGCTCAGGAGTTTGAGATCATCCTAGGCAACATATCAAAACCCCATCTCTACAAAAATCATCATAATAATAATTAGCCAGGTGTGGTGGCACATACCTGTAGTCCCAGCTACTCAGGAGGCTGAGGCGGGAGGATCACTTGAGCCCAGGAGATAGAGGCTGCAGTGAGCTATGATCATGTTACTGCACTCCAGCCTAGATGACAGAGCAAGACTCTGTCTCAAAACAAAAACAAAAACAAAAACTTGCAGTCACACAGTGTAGTGCAAGGGACCCTAGGCTAATCACCTGAATCAAAAATCTAGAGTTGGCCGGGTGCAGTGGCTCATGCCTGTAATCCCAGCACTTTGGAAGGCCAAGGTGGGCAGGTCCCCTGAGGTCAAGAGTTCAAGACCAACCTGGCCAACATGATGAAACTCAGTCTCTACAAAAAAGCAAAAATCAGCCAGGTGTGGCGGTGGGTGTCTGTAATCCTAGCTACTCGGAAGGCTGAGGCAGGAGAACTGCTTGAATCAGGAGGCAGAGGTTGCAGTGAGCTGAGAGCATGCCACTGCATTCCAGTCTGGGCAACACAGCAAGATTTCGTCTCCAAAAAAAAAAAAAAAAAAGTAGCCAAGGGCAGTGGCTCACACCTGTAATTCCAGTACTTTGGGAGGCGGAGGCGGGAGGATCACTTGAAGTCAGGAGTTTGAGACCAGCCTGGCAAACATGGTGAAACCCCATCTCTATTAAAAATACAAAAATGAGCCAGGTGTGGTGGTGGGCACCTGTAATCCCAGTTACTCAGGAGGCTGAAGCAGGAGAATTGCTTGAACCCAGGAGGTAGAGGTTGCAGTGAGCCAAGATCGCACCACTACACTCAAGCCTGGGCGATAGAGTGAGACTCCGTCTCAAAAACAAAAAACAACAACAACAACGAAAAAACCTAGAGTCAGTCACGTGTGCTGTCTGAGGCTTGGTCCCCTCCTCTGTGAAATGAGGAGATGAAGTGGATGATTTCTGAGGGTGGAACTAGTAAGCACCCCTCTGATGCCTTGATTCGTTTCTTGAAGTGAGGGACTTGAGGAGGTGTGTCTGCAGCACTACTGAGGTTCAGCACTAAGATACGGTGCCTGAGCTGTCACTCAAATAATTCCCTAGGAGTGGAGGGTGGTACCTGGTTGTCTAGTAACCCCCAGGGCTTTGAGCTAACTGCTAGGGAGGTAACCCAAGCCAGAGGGGCCATTCCAGAGAGCCGGCTGGGCTGCGGAGAACCAAGGAGGTAAGGTGTCCTGCAGTGAGGACCCCCACTCTGGATAGGGTCATCAGGAATGCTCTGGAGTGGAAGGCCTTGAACAGGCAGGATTTCCAGGTATTCTTAGAAGCAGGGGAATTTCTTTTAAAAGACACTGCTTTTCCTCTGCCTGCCCCTCCTTTTAAAAAAGGGAAACCAGCCGGGCGCGGTGGCTCAAGCCTGTAATCCCAGCACTTTGGGAGGCCGAGGGGGGTGGATCACGAGGTCAAGAGATGGAGACCATCCCGGCCAACATGGTGAAACCCCATCTCTACTAAAAATACAAAAAATTAGCTGGGCATGGTGGCGTGTGCCTGTAATCCCAGCTTCTCGGGAGGCTGAGGCAGAAGAATTGCCTGAACCCAGGAGGCGGAGGTTGCGGTGAGCCGAGATCATGCCATTGCACTCCAGCCTGGGTAACAAGAGCGAAACTCTGTCTCAAAAAAAAAAAAAAAAAAAAAAAAGGGAAAACAAGGATAAAATGGGAAGGGTCAAGAGCCCAGTGCCTTTGGGTGAGGTCTTCCAAAAAAAAAAAAAAAAAAAAAAAAAAAGAGCCCAGTGCCTGGGTCTTTTCCACTCTTTTTCCTGTCTCCTGGGAGGAGAGTTCATGAAAAGCCTTTGCCTTTCAAGGGGAAAGACACTAACAGGATATACAAGCTGATGAGATGCTCGTATTTGGGTTTAAGAGGGCTCTGGAGACCAGAGCAGGAGGCTGGGGGCCTAGAACCAGCCAGCAGACAGAAAGCGGAAGAAATGGAGGGAGAGAGCTTCTCCTTGAGCTAGGGAAGGGGCAGTAAATGCATGTCCTGTCTTGCACCACACTCCTTTTCAGAGAATCTGTCTCTCCTGGAGGTTGGCTCCTTGCCAATTCAGTAGCTTCCTCACCCTAGGGTCCCCAGTGCCTCGTGTGGCTCCTGGCACATAGCAGGGACTCACTGAGTGTTTGTTGCACTGAACTGTATCTTGAGATCAGACAGCAGGAGTACCTCGATGATGAGTTGGGTGGGTGTCTGTGGAGCCACAATGTGAAGGAGGTTATGGAGGAGAGGCCCTGCTTATGCAGTCTCTTCATCTATTTGTGTGTGTGTGTGTGTGTGTGTGTGCGCGCGTGTGCGTGTGCGTGTGCGTGTGTGTGTGTGCTTTGAGACAGAGTTTCACTCTTGTTGCCCAGGTTGGAGTGCAATGTCACGATCTCAGCTCACTGCAACCTCCGCCACCTGATTCAAGCAATTCTTCTGCCTCAGCCTCCCAAGTAGCTGGGATTACAGGCATGTGCCACCACGCCTGGCTAATTTTTGTATTTTTAGTAGAGATGGGGTTTTTCCATGTTGGCCAGGGTGGTCTCGAACTCCTGACCTCAGGTGATCTGCCTGCCTTGGCCTCTCAAAGTGCTGGGACTACAGGTGTGAGCCACTGTGCCCCGCCTATTTGTTCATTCCAAAAACTTTTGTTTTGTGGTAACATATACATAACATATAATTTACCATTTTAACCATGTTAACATGAGCAGTTCAGTGGCGTTAAGTACACTCATGTTACTGTGCAATCAACACAACCATCCATCTCCAGAACTTTTTCATCTCCTTCCATCAACATTTACTGATTATCTACTATGTGCCAGACCCTGCAAGATGCCCCATGTCTAGTAGTGGGGGGAAAGACAAGAAAGTCAGCAACTCTGACCCAGTGTGATAAGTGCTATAAAAGACATAGGCATCAAGTGTCAGTGGAGTACCCAGTTGGTTGAGAAGAAGGTGCGTTCTGAAGGAAGCTGTTACTTGAGTTGAGTCTTGAAGGAGGACTAAGAATTAGTCAGGTTCCACATTAGATTGAGCGTGGATATGGTGCCCAGTGGGACAGAAGAAGCAAAGCGAGGGGACAGGGAGAAATCCTTGGAACCCTGAGGGTCATGCTAGGGCAGGGGTAGAGCTGAATTGCCCTAAGGGAGTCCTGCTCTAGAGGAAGCCGAGGCTGACATGCTGACCCGTCTGTTCCCCTTTGTCAGCCCTATGTCTTCCCCCAGCCCTGAGGATGTGCCCCAGAGGCCTGAGCCTGAACCCTCAAGCTCCAATAAGAAAAAGAAGAAAAGAAAGTGGCTGCAGCAAGCAGCCAGCATCCAAGCCCTCACCAGGGCTGGCCATGGCGCCCTTCAGGCTGGCCGGAACCATGAGGCCTTGACCAACTTCCAGAAGGCCTTCCTTCTGGCCTCCAAGGCCCCACGAACCAGGGACACCCCTGTGCTCCAGGCCTGTGCCTTCAACCTGGGGGCTGCCTATGTGGAGACGGGGGATCCAGCCAGAGGCCTCGAGCTGCTTCTGCAAGCTCAGCCTGAAGAGAAGGCACAGGGCAGGCGTCATGGCGACCAGTGTTTCAACGTGGCTTTGGCCTACCATGCCCTCGGTGAGCTGCCTCAAGCTTTGGCCTGGTACCACAGGGCCGTGGGCCACTACCAGCCGCAGGGTGACCAGGGAGAAGCCTGGGCGAAAATGGGAGCCTGCTACCAGGCTCTGGGACAGCCTGAGCTAGCAGCCCACTGCCTGCAGGAAGCAAGCCGGGCCTATGCCCAAGAGAGGCAGCCGCGGGCTGCAGCCCTGGCACTGGGGGCTGCGGCAGGATGTCTGCTGAAGAGTGGGCGGCACGGGGTAGGGGAAGTTGTGCAGATGCTGGAGAACAGCCGGAGGCTTGCAGAGACGAGCGCTGAGAAGACACTGCTGGGTGAGACCTTCAGGCAGGGAAGGTGTGGGATCTGGGGAGACCCAGAGCCTGGTGATACTCTGAGGGCTGGGTTGAGGGGGGGCCTGGAGGAGTGGAGAAGGGCTGGACCAGTACAACCTTATTTGTATCTGGTCCGGCTACCAGTGACCCTGGCTATGCCCTCTAGGGCACCTCTATAATGATCTAGGCCTGGGCTACTCCGAGCTCCAGCTGTTCCCGCTGGCTGTGGAGGCCTTCCTGCAGGCCCTGCCCCTGTGCTCGGTGCCAGGAGAGCAGGCCACGGTGCTAAGAAACCTCGGGATGGCCCACAACGCCCTTGGCAACTATCAGGAAGCTCAGGCGTTTCATCAGAAGGCTGCTGACCTGCATGGTGCGTGCCCAGGGCCGGGGAATGGGACTGGGACCAAGACCTTAGGAAGCAGTTCCAGCGGGGGCCCCAAGGCTTAAGGGTAGATGGCCCTTTGCGACCACTTATGGATCCTGAAAGCCCAGAAGCAGTGGTGGAGAGCTGGGAGTGTAGGAGACAGGACAGCCAGACAGGACAGAGGGTTGTGTGCCCAGAGGCCAAGGCCTCGGGTTTGGGAAGGCAGCAGTGGGCAGGGGAAGGGTATTGGCTGGGAGAGGAGGCCTGAAGCGGAGTCCAGCCTCTCCGCTGACTGTGTGACATTCAGGAATCACTTTCATTCTCCGAGCTTCAGTTTCCACACTTACAAAAACAGGACCATTAACACCTGCCTTGACAGGTGACATTCAGCAATCACTTTCACTCTCTGAGCCTCAGTTTCCACACTTACAAAAACGGGACCATTAACACCTGCCTTGACAGGTGACATTCAGGAATCACTTTCACTCTCCGAGCCTCAGTTTCCACACTTACAGAAACAGGACCGTTAACACCTGCCTTGCCTGCATCATCTCAGGTTGTTGCCTGACTCAAACGAGCCAGGTGGAGGCGCTCAGACCAGAACCCAGTGTGGAGGGCTCAGGCCTCTTGGGTACATCTGGAGGTGTGCTGGGGCTGGGCACCAGGCCTCCCGGGAGCTCTGTCTTCGTTGCTGGGGGGCGGGGTCCTGATGTCCCAACAGCCAGAGTCCCCTCTGAGGATGGGATGGGCTCTGTCATCAGGCTCTGTGGGGCAGCGGTGGGAGCAGGGCCGGAGCTTTGGCAGCCTGGCATTTGCATTGAGCCAGCTGGGGGACCACAAGGCCGCCAGAGACAACTACCTGCATGCCCTGCAGGCTGCCCGTGACTCTGGTAAGGGTGAGGGGGTGGGATGTGACTGGGGCAGTGGGGAAGGCTGAGAGTCCTAGGAGCTGCTGGGGAGGTAAATGGGGGGAAATGAGGGTAGGGAGTGCCTCTGGGGGGCAGGTCAGTGGGGTAGGGAGCCATGAAAAGACCTTCCAGGCTGTCTTTCTCAGGGGACATGAAGGGACAGTGGCAGGCCTGTGAGGGTCTGGGGGCTGCTGCAGCCAGGCTGGGGCAGTACGACCAGGCTGTGAACTACTATAAGGAAGCACTGGCCCAGTGTCAGGTGAGACCCTCCATCCCGATTCCACCTCTCCCCTGCTATCCCCGGCTGACATTCCTGCCTTCACTCCTTGTCTTCTACCCACCACCATTCAGTCATCAAACATGCATTGGACACAGTGCGCTAGGTCTTGGGATACTATCCTGAGAAAGAATCCATCACTGTCCACAGTTCTGGGCAGGTGGTGGCAGGATCCTGGGAAAGGCATGGGGATGGGTGGAAAAGGGGAAACAAAGCCTCCCTCCCTCCTCCTTTTCCTGTTTCCTTCTTCCCCAGCCCCCAGAGGGCCACAAAGTCCAGGCATTCCCCATTACCCTATTATCCACCCTCTTCCCAGAAGGAGCCAGATTCTGTGCGAGAGCGGCTGGTGGCCAAGCTGGCAGACGCCGTGAGGACGCAATTGGCCCAGGTGGGGCTGGTCCAGACTCACACCCTGGTGAGACGACACCTGAGACAAGGAGATGGGGGTGGGGAGAGGCTACCCAGAGAAGGGGTTGGTGGCGTGCAGAGCCCATGTTCCCCGGGATGCTGTGCGCTTGGCCGCTCATCTGTGTTCGTCCGCCCTGAGCCTGCGCATGGGATGTATCACTTTCCAGCGGTGGGACGTGGGTGGGGGGTTGTGGCACGTCTTCAACACAAGGGCTGTTCCGGGGCTTTGTCTGAGCAGTAACAAGCCTTTTGGGTGGAGGCTAGGGGGTGCAATCAAGGATCCTAAGCTTCCTATGTGATGCGTAGGTGATCAAAGTTTCAAGTCCTTGACTGCAGTTCCCTAAATGACCACATGATGGAGATGTGCTCCAAGAAAGTCCCTCTCTCCCGTCTTCAGGTCTCTGGGGTCATTTCCCTGTGGGTTTCCACCGTGTTCCTCCTTCCCGGTCTCTGCTTTAACCTGTTTCTACCTCCAGGTCTCTTTAAACAATTCGTTGTCTCTCCAACCGCCTACTCCTTCACATTTTGAGACAACCCTAGAAAACCTCTTCCCATTCCAGGAATTGAAATTATACTTTAATATTTTATGTATTTAATAGGTTTTATGCCCTTGCATTTAAAAGACCATATTTTTTAAAGACACCATATTTAAAATCTGTAAGCAAAATTAAATTAGTCTGGTACAGGCAGAGGATTGGATTGAGGGGTCAGATTACCTGGGTCCCAGCCAATGTCTGCCACCGACTTTCCGTGACTTTCCCATGTGAGTCCCCAGACTGGATGGTGTGGTCGCTAGACTCTGGCCAGGTCTGCCAGTCCCTAAGTCTGAATCCAAGCTTGAGCGTTACTAGCAGGGTCCTTAATAGAACAAAGAGCCTCACTCCAGAATTATATTCTCAGAGACAAGCGGCACAGCCCGAATTGTCTCTATCACGTAAGTCTCTGGAGGGAGCAACCACATAGCTGGGATGGCCTTTTTTTCCCAAACCTATTCCCTTTACTCCCTTTCATTCTCAGATCTCAGCCCCAGGAAGACCCCAGGCTCTAGATGGGGCCAGCCAAGTGGAGGCGACCTCAGCAAAGGCAGGAAGCAGCGCAGCGGGTGCCCAGCACAGGTGAGGCTGTATGCAGCCTCTGCAGGGTGCTGGGGGCTTCACAGTGGGGTAGGACCCCATGGGTACCCCCAGGGAGGAGGGAACTGGTGTCGCTCTGCCCAGCTGTGCCCTGGTTCCCTGCCCCTACAGATCTTCCAGTGGATGGGAAGACGAAGGGTTTGAAGAGGGCCACCAGGAGAAAAAAGAGGAGAGGTCGGCAAACGTTCCCACGAGGGCTGGGCGGGGGAGACTGGAGCATGAGTTGATGGAGGCTATTCCTGGCAGTGCCTCTGCTCACTGCAGGCGTAGCACTCCCATCCCCCCCTGCTCCTTATGCCCATCCCACCATCCCCGCTTCCTGTTATCTTTTCTCTGAGGCCTGGTACCACCCCTGACCCTGACTGTCCCAGCTCACAACTCCCAAACAGGCCTCCCCTATTTCTGCTTGTCTCTCAAGGCCCCGGACCGTTTTCCCTAAACCTTTCCAGAACTGCCTCTTCCTTCCTGCTCTCATGGCTTTCCTAACTTCTAGAACTTTGCATCTCAGAGCGCCAAGGTTTTGCTGACAGCCTACTACCTGCCCAACACGGCACGGGGTGCTGTTCTTGCCCCAGCCTGCTACTCACTAGTCTCTTTCCCACAAAAACTTGAAACTCAGGGAGCAGAGTTCCTGTTGAGCTACTCGTTGAGCTGACCTGAATTTCCCTGTGTCTCCTTTTCAGTTGTTTCCTTCCAGGCACGGTGAATCATTCCCACCGTCTAGCTTCTACTTGCCCCGTGTTCACCAAGCACACGCCCTGCAGAGGGACAGTCCTTGGCAAAGCCTCGTGTATAGCGAGCAGTGCATCCCCCACCGCCCCAACTCCTGGTTCTTCTCCCACAGCTTTTTTCCACCATGACAGTTCTCGGTGCACAGAGGCCTGTGATGAATGTGTCTGTCCTTCTCCATCTAGCTCCAGGATCCAGGGCCCATCTCCCATTTGTGGGTCCAGGACCTCCCAGAGTGGAGAACCCTAGCTTCCTGGTACCCAACAGCCCTCAAGCCAATAGGTGGGTCCTTAGGGGAGAGAAGGAGGCCTGGAGAATAGCAAAGAAAGTAGAAGATGTAGCCGGGCGCGGTGGCTCAAGCCTGTAATCCCAGCACTTTGGGAGGCCGAGGCGGGTGGATCACGAGGTCAGGAGATCGAGACCATCCTGGTCAACACGGTGAAACTCCGTCTCTACTAAAAATACAAAAAACTAGCTGGGCATGGTGGCACGTGCCTGTAATCCCAGCTCCTCAGGAGGCTGAGGCAGGAGAATTGCCTGAACCCAGGAGGCGGAGGTTGCGGTGAGCCGAGATTGCGCCATTGCACTCCAGCCTGGGTAGCAAGAGCGAAACTCTGTCTCAAAAAAAAAAAAAAAAAAAAAAAAAAAAAAAAAAAGTAGAAGATGTGACTTGGTTTTTGTTTGTTTGTTTTTTTTTTTTTTGGTTTTTTTTTTTTTTTTTTGAGATGGAGTCTCACTCTGTCGCCCAGGCTGAAGTGCAGTGGCGCGATCCTGGCTCACTGCAACCTCTGCCTCCTGGGTTCAAGTGATTCTCCTGCCTCAGCCTACTGAGTAAGCTGGGTTACAAGCACCCACCACCACACCCAGCTAATTTTTGTATTTTTAGTAGAGATGGGGTTTCACCACGTTCGTCAGGCTGGTCTCAAACTCTTGACCTCATGATCCACCTGCCTCAGCCTCCCAAAGTGCTGGGATTATAGGCATGAGCCACCGAGCCCGGCTGCCTTGGGATGATTTTAAAGGAATGTGACCACTGTTGGAGTTGGGGGAAGCGGGTATCTCATGCTTGGGATATAGGACCCCGAGCCCCACTTTGTCTTTGCCCTTAGCAATGTGACCAACCCTCACCCGGCTCTGAGAGCCTGGGGTATGCCCTGCTTCCCGAATGGCCCAATGCTAGGCCCCAGCGAAAGACAGGGTGCTGCAGAATGGGGGGATATGAAGCTTAAGCCTACTCCCTCCTCTGGAGCCCACCAGCAGAGGTAAGGGCCAAATAGGGCAGAGGAAAGCTGAAGCCAGGGCAGGCTGCCTCCTGCTGTCTCCCCAGTCACCCCCAGGCAAGCCCCTCCCTGTCTCCTTCAGATCATCCACGTGGCCTACAGAAAGCCTCAGCAGGAGCCACCAGAGGAGACCCACGGAGTCAGGCATCTGCACGATCCTGTGACGTCCCCCTGCAGCCACAGCTCTCATCTCTGCAGCACCTGCCCACCACACACACACTAGGGGGTCCTGGGGACCAAGCCTCTTCCTAGTTGCTCAACCCTGCAGGGATGTGAAACATAACGCATCCAGTGGACTCCTGAGGAGCCTGGCTAAGGGCTTTGCTGGCTTGGCCCTGAGAGGCTCTGTTTGGGATTTTTGGACTCCCTAGGTAAAAGAAAAAAGGAAAATGGATGGCGAGTTCCCTTTGTCTTTCTGGATCCAAATCTGATGAGTGCCAGGGGCCTGGCAGTTCTAGGAACTGACTTCGTGGTCAAGTAGCTTTGGAGTCACCGACTGTCTTCAGACCTTCATTTTTGCATATGGGAGATGAGGATATAATACTACCGAAGATACATCTTACCCAACCGATGCACCCCACTTCCTCTGTAAAACACGGGGGATACTGGACGCAGGCCTAGACTGTAGCCTGTAGTCTGTAGGACAGTTCCTTCCAGAAGCTACAGGAACAGTGATGTGATGTACCATTTCCCGAGCACTTAGCTCATGCCCCACCCTATTCTAGGTGCTTCACAAGTGTATTCTCCTCTAATCCTCACAACAAATATATGACGTGCGATTATCATCCCCTTTCACGAATGAGGAAAAGCGGGCACAAAGCTTCAGTAGTCTGAATTCCCAGGTCACATAACTAGTACGTAGAGAAGCTGGGACTCAATCCTAGGCAGTAAGCACTTTCTAGAATGCTGTGCAATTCCACCTCCCCAGCTGAGCCCTCGCTTACTCAGAGTCAGTTGTGATTTAATACCAAGTGTGTTTATGCCCATTGTCTGTGTTGTTGTGATTCGTAATTTAATTAAATACTATATACATTGATGAACAGGCCAGGCGAGGTGACTCACCCCTGTAATCCTAGCATTTTGGGAGGCCAAGGTAGGAGGATTGCTTGAGCCCAGGAGTTTGAGACCACCCTGGGCAACATAGTGAGAACTCCATCTCAATGTAAAAGAAAATTTATCTTTTTTCTTGAAAAAAAAGAAAGAAAGAAAGAAAGAAAGAAAGAAATTGATGAACTAAGAGTGGGAAAACAAACACAGTTTCTATAAAAACTAAGTTGGATCCTTAGAAGACTCAACTAAGGTAAATTACTTTTTCTTTATTGTTCTTATTCCTTTTATTCCAGTGATGGAGAAATAAGGGAGTTTATTTATTTATTTTTTGTGACAGGGTCTTACTCTGTTGCTCAGGCTGGCATGCAGTGGCACAATCACATCTAACTGCAGCCTCAACCCCTAGGATCAAGCGATCCTCCCACCTCAACCTCCTGCTAGTATTACAGGCACACCGCTGTCAGGAACCGGTCGGGATGGCATGTCTGCTGGGGATCTCTCGACCTGCAAGAGGGTCCCAAAACCTGGAAGAGAGAGTGCGCTTAAAGAAATAAAGAAAGACAGAGAGAGCGGGGGTCTGGAGGGCTGAGTAGGCAGTGCCCAAAACAGCAAATTTATTTTTCAAAGGCCAGTAATAAATATACTTTCTTTGCTCTGGTTTACGTCATTGCAAGAGGAAATGTGAATCTATACCTTACATGGCCTATACAATAGAGAAGTCAGATACACAATCAGTGATTGCAAAAAGTAATAGAATTTCCTGTGATCACAAAGCTTGTTTATATCCAGACATTATTCCTCATGGCTGCAGGTATTTTTGGTTTGATCTTGTTTTAGGACTCACATGTGAAAAGGCTTTCTGGTTTTGCTCATCAGAATATCTTTAAACCAGATTCTCCTTTGTCTGCTCCTGACTCAACTTATCTCAACTCCCCCTATTCAGGAGTCTCTGAGTCTGGGATCAAAGCCATCCGTATAGTGGCATTTGCTTTGCAAATATCCCCACAGTTAAACCATTATCTAGGGTACAAGGCAGTCATGCCAGTAAAGAAAAGGTTAAAGCTATTCTTTTTTTTTTGAGACAGAGTTTCACTCTCGTTATCCAGGCTGCAGTGCAATGGCGCGATCTCGGCTCACCGCAACCTCCGTCTCCTGGGTTCAAGCAATTCTCCTGCCTCAGCCTCCCGAGTAGCTGGGACTACAGGTGTGCACCACCATCCACCATGCCCAGCTAATTTTTGTATTTTTAGTAGAGACGGGGTTTCACCATGTTGACCAGTATGGTCTTGATCTCTTGACCTCGTGATCCACCCGCCTCGGCCTCCCAAAGTGCTGGGATTACAGGCTTGAGCCACGGCGCCCGGCAGCTATTCTTAAAGAATCATAAAAGTTAAAAGCAGAAACTGGTTGCTGGTATGGAGTCACTTAGTCTAGCAGCACCGCATAGTTGAGGCTCAAACGATATTGTGGTTGATATTGGAAACTGATCAGTAATCTTTCAGTTTCTTCTTTCCAATAGCTCGACTGCCTCCAGCAGGAAACTGTGTTTGGGATCAAGCTCACCGTATAGTGAGACCCACGCCTTTTGGGGGTCTCACACAGGAACGTTCCCCACACACCACCATGCTAGGCTAATTTAAAAAAAAAATGTATAGAGCCAGGGTCTCACTATGTTGCCCAGGCTGGTCTCAAACTTCAGGGCTCAAGCCATCTTCCCACCTCAGCATCCCAAAATGTTAGGATTACAGGTGTGAGCCACTGTCCCCAGCCTGTGAGTTACTTTATTTATTTGTTTATTTATTTATTTATTTGAGACGGAATCTTGCTCTGTTGCCCATGCTGGAGTACAGTGGCATGATCTCGGCTCACTGCAACCTCCACCTCTCGGGTTCAAGTGATTCTCCTGCCTCAGCCTCTCAAACAGCTGGGATTACAGGTGCATGCCACCACACCTGGCTAATTTTTGTATTTTTAGTAGAGACCGGGTTTCCCCATATTGGCCAGGCTGGTCTCAAACTCCTGGCCTCAGTTGATCTGCCCACCTCAGCCTTCCAAATTGCTGTGTTTACAGGCGTCAGCCACTGTGCCCGGTTTCTGAGAGTTACTTAAAAAGCTTCTGTATGTATTGGAACCCAATCATTTAAAAAAAAAAAAAAAAAAAAAGCTGCTGTGGGCTGGGCATGGCAGCTTACACCTGTAATCCCAGCACTTTGGGAGGCCAAGGTGGATGGATCACTTGAGGCCAGGAGTTCAAGACCAGCCTGGCCAACATAGTGAAACTCCATCTCTATTAAAAATACAAAAAATGCTGGGCGTGGTGGCTCAAGCCTGTAATCCCAGCACTTTGGGAGGCTGAGGCGGGTGGATCACGAGGTCGAGAGATCGAGACCATCCTCGTCAACATGGTGAAACCCCGTCTCTACTAAAAGTGCAAAAAATTAGCTGGACACGGTGGCGCGTGCCTATAATCCCAGCTACTCAGGAGGCTGAGGCAGGAGAATTGCCTGAGCCCAGGAGGCGGAGGTTGCGGTGAGCCGAGATCGCACCATTGCACTCCAGCCTGGGTAACAAGAGCGAAACTCCGTCTCAAAAAAAAAAAAAAAAAAAAAAAAAAAAATACAAAAAATTAGCTGGTATGGTGGTGTGTACCTGTAATCTCAGCTACTCAGGAGGCTGAAGCAGGAGAATTCACTTGAATCCAGGAGGCAGAGGTTGCAGTGAGCTGAGATCATGCCTCTACACTCCAGCCTGGGTGACAGAGTGAGACTCTGTCTCAAACGAAAAGATAAAAGCTGCTGTGAAGTTAGATGTGAGCGACGATATTATTACAAATTGGGGAATAACCACAAAAATGTAAATTCTGCACTCAAGGTTGCTTCAAATATGCCATTAATTGTTAAGTTTTGCTTTAAGAAAGCAAACTGGAAATTGCAGTGATATATAACTGGTGAGGTTTATACCAGAAAGAAGATGAGGGACTCCAATCACTGGCCCCATCCTCAAAGAAAAGACCCTGGCCACATTTTGACAGATGGAAAATTAATGTATATTTTATTTATTTATTTTTGGTTATTTGATTTTTTTTTTTTAAGACGGGGTTTTCACCATGTTGGTCAGGCTGGTCTTGAACTCCCGACCTCAGGTGATCCACCCACCTTGGCCTCCAAAGTGCTTGGATTACAGGCGTGAGCTACCGCGCCCGGCTATTAATGCATATTTTAAAGCTGAAATAAAATAATCCACTCCTGATCATGTCAGATAAGAGAACATAGGGAAGGCAAAACTTACCTCCACCCTCTTAGGGTCTCTGGCTGGGACAGAGAATTAAATGGAAATAAAACTGATTAATAAGAGAAAAGCACACAGATTTACTTAATATAAATTTTATGTGACACAGGAGCCCTCATAAAGCAATGAAGACCCAAAGACAGAAAACCTAAATGTTTTATACTAGGTTGAACAAAGAGGCAACTGTGGAAAAGCAGCTAAAATATATGGGGAGGCTGGGCTCAGGGGCTCACGCCTATAATCCTAGCACTTTGGGAGGCCAAGGCGGGTGGATCGCTTGAGCCCAGGAGTTTGAGACCAACCTGGGCAACATGGTGAGCCACAGTCTCTACAAAAAGTACAAAAATTAGCCAGGTTTGGTGGCACACCCCTGTAGTCCCAGTACTAGGGAGGCTGATACAGGAGAATTGCTTGAACCCAGGAGGCAGAGGTTGCAGTGAGCCAAGATCATGCCATTGCACTCCAGCCTGGGTGGCAGTGTGAGACTGTCTCCAAAAAACAATTAAAATAAAATAAATGGGGAGGCTAAAGGAAGATAAAGAGATATTTTAACAAGGTATGTTTGTACAGACTTCTCTTGGCTTCAGCTCCCTGTCTCTGGTGATGAGAAATGCTTCTTTCCTCCGGGAGGAAGGCATTGTTCACATGGAAGTTTTGTTTCCTGCTTTCAGGAAGAAAGGGGGAGATTACAGCACTCTTCTTATACTGTTTTTCTTTTTATTTATTTATTTTTTTTGAGATGGAGTCTGGCTGTGTCACCCAGGCTGGAATGCAGTGGCACAACCTCTGCTCACTGCAACCTCTGTCTCCTGGGTTCAAGCAATTC